GGTCGTAACTTTCTTGCCGCGGAGGCGACCGCAAGGACCGCCTTTTCGACGGGCAAGTACCTCGTTTCGGCGGGAAGAAGCGCCTTGCTCACGTAGTAAACAGGTCGGTCGGAGCCGTCTTGCGCTCTTCTCACCAGGACGGAACTCACGGCTTGCTCGAAAACCGCTAGGTATAGGTAGAGCCGTTCCCCACTGATGGGGGCGCTCAAAACTGGCGGTTGGCTGAGCTGGTCTGTCAACAGCTGAAATGCTTTGTCGCACTCGGCACCCCACTGGAGCCTTGACGCCGATTTCTTCAGCATTTGGAAGAAAGGAGAGCATTTGTCGGCGGACCGCGGGATGAACCTTCCGAGTGCGGCCATCTTTCCATTGAACGCCTGGATTTCTTTGATGGTCTTTGGCGGCTTCAGGCCGCGTATAGTCTCAATTTGCTTCGGGTTGGATTCTATACCTCGTTTTGTGATCATGAACCCTAGGAACTTTCCCGCCTTGGCGCCGAAGACGCACTTGAGCGGGTTGAGCCTTAGATTTTTCTTCCTCAATGTTTCGAAGGTTTCCCTCAGGTCGGACAGGTGGTCGCTTGCTTTCTTGCTTTTGACCAGCACGTCGTCAACGTAGGCCTCTACGTTCCGTCCCATTTGCTCCTTAAAGACCGCGTCCACCATCCGCTGATTGGTCGCCCCCACGTTCTTTAGTCCGAAGGGCATAACTACGTAGCAGATGTTGCCCATTGGAGTCATGAAAGCGGTGAGTTCTTGATCCTCGTCCGCCATTATGATCTGGTGGTATCCAGAGAACATATCCAGGAAGCTGAGAGCTTCATGGTTGGCGGTCCCGTCTATGAGCTGATCAATACGGGGAAGAGGATATGCGTCCTTGGGACAGGCCACATTGAGGCTGGTGAAGTCGATGCACATTCTCCAAGCGCCTCCAGCCTTGCGTACAAAGACCGGATTTGAGAGCCAAGTGGGGTACTTTACCTCTCTGATGAATCCGGCTTTGAGGAGGCGGCGCACCTCCTCTTCCAATGCCATTTGTTTTTCAACTGACAGGTGTCTCCTTCGCTGCTGTATGGGACGCGCTTTGGCTTTGACTGAGAGGCGGTGCTCGGAGACCTTACGGGGAACTTCGGGCATGTCTTCCGGACCCCACGCGAAGAGGTCTTGGAACTCTCTGAGGAGTGCGAGCAGTTTCTGAGCCTCTTCTTGGGCGAGATGCGTGGAAATGCGCACCGTCCTTTCTGGTTGCTCTGCGTCAAGAGCGACCGCCACATCTCCTTCGACCGCTTCCGGTCTTGGAACGTCGCCTCTTGTGTCGACCAGGTCGACTTCGAGGTGTTCGATGGTCGCTTGGTAGCATTCTTTAGCCTCCTTTGGGTTGCCCCGAACACGCCCGGTTTGTCCTCGGCTTGGGAACTTAAGCATCTGGTGGCATGTTGATGCGACCGCCTCGAACGAAGCTAGGAAACCGCGTCCGAGAATGGCATTATACGCCGAAGGACAATCCGCCACGTGAAACTCTACGGGTCTGGTCTTTGTGATTCCTCCTTCTCCTATGGTGACTTTGAGCGTGATCTAGCCGAGGACGCGGACTTTGGTGCCGGAGAAACCTACCAAGCTGGTGTTGGAAGGACTGAGGTCTTGGACGCTCTTTTTCATCCCTTTGAGAGCTAAGTAGAATAGTATGTCTGCCGAGCTTCCATTGTCGACCAGGGCTCTGGTGACTTTGAACTTGGCGGTTCGAAAGGAAATGACCAGGGGATCCTCCGAGTTTTCCTCGTTGGCCAACTCAGAGGGCAGGAAGGCGACCTCTGTCGGTGCTTTGCGTTGCACGTTGAGACATTGAGCGATGCGGTCTCCTTCGGTTCTTGGGCGCTTTCGCCCTCCTGCGATCGTTATGACATCCATTCCATTATCGTCATTTCGGGGTGCTCTGTAGGGAGGAGACTGCCTCATCGGGGAGGTGACCTTGTTTCGAGAGCGGGATCTTGACCTGTCCTTTCTTGCGCGTCTTGTCTTGTCCTGCTCAGGACTCGGGGACTCCTCTCGCTCTTCTGCAGAGTGTTCTCTGTGGGACCGCCTCATTTCTAGCTTGCTTCTTAGATCTCCCGGGGCCAGATGTCGGAGCGTGGCCTTGAACTCTCTACACTCTGTGGTGTCATGGGTTGTGATTTGGTGCCAGTCGCACCACTTTTTTCCTTCCTGCGGTTCTTGGACGGATGACGCCTCGTGCTTCCTTCCACCCTTCCTTCGGTCTCTTCCCTTTTCCCTATCGGTGGAAAGGACGTCTCTTCTTCCTTCTCGATCGGTGTATCTATTTCGGTACGACCTTCGGTCTGGTGACCGCCTTCCCCTCCGGGAGTCCCCACGCTCTGAGGCGTCTCCGCGGGGACGGCTCTGCTGGTCGCGGTCGTCGTTGGCTAGTGCTTCCTCCAATAAGATCGCTCGGCGTACCAATTGATCTAAGTCAGACCAGGCCGCCAGGGTCGCTTCCTTTTTTATCAACGTTCTTTTCAGCTCGAGACTAGTCGTCGATATTCGGAGGTTCCCGGCGGCCACGACTGGGGAGATGCCATCTACTTCGCAAGCTATCGCGTTCCATCTGTCGTAGAACTCAGCAAGCGACTCTTCCTTCCTCTGCCGGCAACCTATGAGCGCCGAGACGGTGAGTTTGCGACGCTGTTGAGACGCGAATTTGGTGGAGAAGAGCATCGCAAACTGCTCAAAGTTTTCTATAATCCCTTCTGGTAGGGAGGTATACCATGTTCGGCATTGGCCGCTGAAGATAACCGGGAACGCACGACACAGATCCGAGTCTGTTGCGTTGATGAGCTGCATCTTTAACATAAACGCGCAAAGATGGTCGGCGGGATCGGATGACCCGCTGTAGGTAGGTAGTCCCAGAGAGGAGAAGTTTGGGGGAACTGGAGTCTTGAAGAGTTCTCTCGATAGGGGGTTTTGTAGAACGTTCGGGCTCTTATGCTTCCCGAAGGTAGACCGCAAATGCTCCTCTAGAAAGTTAAGATCCAGATCGTCAGCCTCGGGTCCTCCGCCTTCTGTCCGAGCAGGACTGTCGAGGATGAGAGCGCCTTTCAGCTTCTCGTCGCGTGTCTTCCCCTTCGAGCCCTCGGCGGGGTCATCTCGGGTCTTCAGGAGCTGGAGGATTTGGGAAAGGCTGTCTTGCATGTTTGCAATTTGCATCCCTTGATTCTTGACCACTTCTTCCAGCTCTGGTTCATCCTCGATCCTCGGTGATAAGCCTCGGAGGGTGTTGTTTTCGGTCATCCCCTTGAGGGGGGTCTCGAAGTCGTCTCCCATCTCGTTCGCCACAAAGTAGTAGGGCCCCACGGTGGGCGCCAAAATGTTTATGCTTGGAATGTACCAAGCGGTTTGTGAGACTCCACTGGCCTTGGGCGACTTCGACGGTCGAGGGCGGTCTCCGAAACCCTGCAGAAAGGTCCTCAGGGGGTTCCTGTGACCTCCTCCTATGCTTAAGTTAGAGAGAGAAGTGAAGTGTGAGTAAATAAGAGAGAGAATGGAGTTGGTTGAAGTTACCATCAATGTGATCCGAGGTGGGTATTTATACCAGTGATGATCAGGGGTGAGGGCATTTAATTCTATGTCGGGCGGTCTTGGACCGCCTGAGCTTTGGCCCTCTGAGACTGTCAGGTTCGTACTTCTGTCAGTCTTCGTACAAAAGTGTTCAGAGGCCGTTCATCCCATTTGTCGGGCGGCTCTCTGATGTTCCGTTGAGAGGATGTCGGGCGGTCTTCCCGGCAAGGTGCCCCGAGAGAGACCGCCTTTCGGGTCCGTTTGGGCCGGACCTAATTGCTTAATGGGCTTTCAGTGAGTCATGGGCTTGGGGCCCGTAAATGTTATACCATTTACTAATATACCCTCTCATAAAAAGTCGAACTTATATTCAATTGAAGTTTGCAGCGATCGGAGCGCAACATTCGCCCATCCCTAGTCGTTTTCATGATGCTCAATTTGGGTGCTCATTGAGGATATTGTCTAACTTAGCATGTGTGTGCATGTTCGTTTTGAAAATTACCATGCTCCTATTGTGGAGGAGTTATGCATTAGCAGCAGAGAATGTGAGAGATGGTTAGGAAATGACAAATTCCGTAAACATTATACTATTGTCAATTGTCTCATGCTTTCATATAATTATTATTGTATCCTATTGTCGCGGGATACACGGAAAGTGAGGTTTGTGCTCCACCACTACTACGATTGCCCAACCGCAACCGCAACCAATCCAAGACAACGACGTCGTGAAACCAATACCGGATCCTTCCATTGGTAATTCACTAGTCCATTTCATTTGCATAAAGCTAGCTAGCTACCAAATGTCAGCCCTCTTCCGCTTCAAATACACCATCTCCATTGACAATTCTCTGAGTCTGTCAACATCATTTCATACAACACCACCCTTGCCATTGCCAATGCCAATGACTTCTCCCTGATCGCCCTCCACCCAACAACCGTGTCTTCCTAATTAATACGCACAAGTTGCCCGTCCCGCATAACTAATGCAACATTGGCCAACCAGAAATAACAAACGCGGTACGCGCTTCCTTCCTGCTTCCACCCTTGTCTCTCTTCCATAACTACAAAGTCCAAGTTTCATCAAGGCGGCAGAATGCGTGCAATTTCTTATCTTAACCATTACTAGTACGTAGATTCATCAGAGGAGAGGAGAGGAGAGGAGCCTACAAACCGTCTAAATTATGGGGGTATTCGAACAAGTTGGCTGTTGGATTCAGAACTATCACCATTACCCCTGAATTCATCAAACCAGAACATCAATGGCTTCGAGCAGATCATAAACGAGCAATACATGAACGAACAAATCCATTTCTATAACTCATTTACAACGCGGTGTCTAAGTTATTACTGTTCTTGTTACCTTTCTCATACTCTGGAAATGAATGAATTACAGACCCAACAGATAATAATCTACAGACAAAGCTACTAAAATCTTTCCTTGTTGTACGTTCAAGACGAGTGATGGTCGAAAAGGGAGTAGAACTGTGGGTTCCCGTTCATGGATCCGCCTTCAATCACTTCCAGCAAAGCCATCGCTTTGCTCTTCCCTTTCGAGCTCCCTCCCTCGGCTACATCCCTGATTCCTTCCAACGCCGTGACCCCCAATTCCTTCACCTCTCGCAGGACCTTCTCGCCGCCGCTTCTGACCAGGTTCAGCAGCGCTCCAACAGCGTTCTCCTTAACCCTACCACTGGAACCCGTCCCAACGTCCAACAGATCCACCAACACCCTGATTCCGGAGACCCGGCCGAATTCCGCCTCGCTCTCCTCGCACCCGGCGATCTGAGCGATCACCGCCGTCGCATCCTCAACGATCCCGACCCTCCCGTCCTTGAGCACCAGCGAGAACAGCGGCGGGACGACTCCGAGATCAATCATGACGGATCGGTTCAGCTGGTACAGAGCGATGCCGAACAGGGCCTTGAGCGCGTCCTTGATCGACCGCGGCGGCGATTTCGGGCTCCTCACAATCTCAATCAAGGAGTAGACGATGTCCCTTTTGGATCCGATGATGGGGCGGTAGGAGTCGACGACGAGCAGGCTGTGGAGCGTGGCGGCGGCGGACTGGACGGCGGTGGGAGAGGTGGCGGTGGCGTGGTGGCCGAGTGCGTGGGAGAGCGCGTCCAGCAAGCCGCGCGTGGACATGAGGGAGTCGCGTGAGGAGATGGAGATGTTGAGCAGGGTCGCGGCGGCGTTGTCTTGAGATTCGTGGGAGGAGGAGTAGAGAGTCTCGGCCAGGTAAGGTATGGCCCCTGCTTCGGCGACGATCGGCCGGCTCTCTTCGTCGTGCTTTGTGATGAGTCGCAACTCCGCTAGGGCCTCCTCCCGGGTTCGCTCCGACACCGAGCTCAGCTTGGAGACTAGAGTGCGTATGGTTCTGCGCTTCACATCCATCGGCGAAACAAGAGAAGAAGGGGGAAGGAGAGAATTTTAGGAGCGGCGGCGGCGGCGGCGATTTTATGGTATTGGGAAGGAGGAGGAAGCGTCAAGCGTTAGGTGGGATAGCGGTGGGAAAGGGATAAGAGGGGAAGTGCTGGAAGAAAAAGTGAGTCGCAGATAGCTACAGTTTTTTTTTTTTTTTTTAACTTTATCTTTTGGCTTCCGAAGAATTTTATTTGTCTTCCGTTTTGTTTATAAAAATTTCTCCACCCTTTATATTTAATTAATAATGTCGGGCCGAATACGGGAAAAGGGGAACGAGCATTTTGGGCTACTAGCGAGCTGAACCCGAATCTACGAGTACTCTACCCGATCCATCAAGTAAAACCCGTGTTGACCGGTTTCGGGTTTGGTTCTGGTTTAATTTCGCTACACTATTCACAGGTTGGGTTGGGTTTGAGTTTAGGTATACCCGCCATATGGGTATCCGCTCACACTCATATAATTGATTTTTTCGGTATATTTAACATACTAGGCAATATATCATTTTTTAACAACTAATATTCTTTATGTTTGTGGTGAAATGTCTAATTTTTTATTTCTAATTGTGTAGAATGAAGTTGATATTATGGAGTGGAGAGTGAAGAAGTTTAGTTGACAAGGAGGAAAAAGCTTTCATTTAATCATGTTGTTTATAGATGTTTATCTTTAATTTTGAACAATTTGTATTGATAATTTGCGTTTGCTTGTATGCTCTATATTGATTTTTTTTTTTTGAATGGATAATTTTTATGAGAAAATTTATGTTAGACTTTCATTTTGAAATAAACTTGTTATTATAAATTTTTTATACAAAAATCCACGGGTACCCATGAACCTGCGGATACTGTCACGACCTTACTCTCCTAGGGCCGCATGATCGAGAGTAAGGTCGTGACAATACCCAACGGATTAGGTTGAGTTTGAGTTTTTCAAACCCAATAAGTTTTACCCCGGTTTTTTTGACGGATAAACCCATAAATTTGGATTTGAGTTTGGCAAAATCCGCTCCAATCCAACCCATTGCCATAAGGGATGGCAATTTCGACCTGACCCGTATTACCCGATCTGTTTGACCTGTTTTGGGGCGGGTCCGACCAGTGGCGTAGCCAGAAATTTATCTAAGGTGGGTCAAACGTGAAAAAGATATATATAACGTATGTTGTTGAATGTGTTCATGTTTTGAAAATTTTCTAAAATATATTAATCAAGCAAATTATGAGAGATGTTAAGATATCACAACGAAAAATCGTTCATGATTACACAACTCATCTTATTATGAAGTGTTTCTTTACTTTGCTAATTGCATAAGTACTCTTTCAATACTTGAATGACAACCGATAGCAACAAACAAGTCTAAGTAATAACATTACTTTTCGAGTTTTTGTATACATACTAAAATCTCTTATCGAATATATAAACTAAAAGGTTAATAGAGATCATAAAACATTACTTTACGTAAAATTATTTACAATCATATAGAAATTTTGTATTTTATCAACAATCATATAAATTAATTTACTCCATATTTTTTGGGCCAAGGTGGTGCAAATGACCCACCTTGGCCTCATGTGGCTCCGCCACTGGGTCCGACCCGCCCCGTAGGCGGGGCGGGGCGGGGCGGGCATGGGTAGTCTCATCGACCCGACCTATCCTGACTCGCCCCATTCTCGACCTGTTCTTGTCTAATTTACATGTAATCTTAGTAAAATTACTTAGGATTTTCCTTTAATTGCATCATATTTTAGCTATAAGAAAGTTGTAATTAGTGAAAACCTCAATTTCTCCAATAATTTAACTGCAATTGTCATAATATTGTCTGTTTTCTTAGTCTTATAATAAAAATAACGAATATTTCTAATGTTTTTAATATAAATTGCATACTGATTGGGTCGACCTGCCCCGACCCGTGACCCGTGATCAATTACCCGACCTGGACCCGACCTGCCACGGGACGGGTCTGGGTACCAAAAAACCCTCCCCGGACCTGCCCCATTGATTGCGATCCCTGTCCATAAATAATCATTCAATTTCACGGTTGGATTACTAACGATGCAATGATTTTATGATTGATGTTTTAGAAAAGACGTAGCTTATATTTCTACTACGAGCGAAATGGTCATTTCATTCAGACTTTTCATCCATTTTACAACTTGCCTTTGAAAAGTTGGGATGATTTCTCTAATAATTGTTGCTTGTCAATTTCCTCTGCGTTGAGGATTTTCCATGCAATAAAGTTGTTACGAGGTGGTTTTAGATATGTCAAATGGATTGGATTTATGAGTTAGTGTGTTTTATGGGTTTGGATTAAATTGATTTTTGGGTTCATAGATTGAAGCATAAAAATTGGTGGATTATATTAATAGATCCAAGTGACATCTAAATATTGGATCGATATATAATTTTTAAAAAGCTTTGTTACTGAAATGTCATAATAAAAGTTTTAGGTACCAAAATATAAATTTTCAATGATATTTTATGTTAAAATTAAAAATTTAGGTATCAAAATGTAAACTATAAAATGTTTATGTACTAAACTATAATTTTCCAAGTATCAACGAATCCAATACGTGAATACATTAATCTAATTGAATTTGGATTATATGGATTGGATTATAGTTGTTTACCAGATGGATTGGTTTGGATTCGATACAAAATTGTCACCTCTAGATAACTCTTGTAACAAGGTCGCAACAGGGCCGGCCTAGAGGGTGTGCTGGCCCGCCCTCCGGCACAGGGCCTCCGAATATTAGGGGCCTCCACTTAGATCCGTTAGTTACCGATCGAACATTGTAGATTGTATTTTTAGTATATGATTGATTGATTATGAGTATGATGACGATTTTAATAGATAATTTTAGCTATAATAACAATTAAAAATGATATCATGAAGACTACGAAAATAAGAATGATAATAGATAATTTTATGGGTAACGTCTATTTTTTATCCAGACATTTTTCAGATTCTTTTATAATATCCAAACCTGTCGAAATGCTAAAAGTTAGCCGAATGTTAACTTTCGGTTAGCATTTTTGTTAGTAATATTGACTTGACAACATGATACTGACTTGGAAGAGACACATGAAGGTCAAGATTCCAAAATTTTAGTATTTTAACTAAGAAAAGAGTTACAGAATTATTAACAATAACGTAAAAATTACTAATATTTTGGTGCATTATGAAAGATTTGGCTAATTAATAAATTTTTAATAGGTTTGGATAATATAAAAGAATCTGAAAAAGGTTTGGATAAAAAATAGACATTACCCTAATGTATTTTAAACTATGTAGAAAGATATTACAGTCATTTTAGTTTTATTATAGTTAAAAGTCAATTTAGACCACGTCTCAATTTTGGAACAAGGCCCCCACGAAGCATTAGACAGCCCTGGGAATTTGGTTTTGGTTTCTTCGTCAAACTAGAAACGTGATCATTTATTTCTTTTGTAATCATTTTCTGAGAGTATGCATTTTTTTATAATTATTTAATAATTTTTATTTTTAATAAATTTGTGGAGAAAATTTTTAGGGCCACATTTTAAATTTTCGAACAGGGCCTCCGAATATCATGGGACGGCCCTGGGTCGCAATATCTAGATTCATGATCAACTCTTTTCAAAATTTACGAGAGGCTACAACAATGGTCTTCTCTTTTGTGGCAAGAAGGTCAAGTTTTCGGATTAAGGCCTTCTTTTATGCAGCTACTGTCAAAAATGGGGTCAACTTTATATAGGTAGTTGACCTCTAGGATATGGATAGTATGTTGTGCTATCTATACTTGTTTTCCGCCATATTATGAGAGTACTTATGCATTGTAACACTTGGTGTAGACACCACATTTTGTCCGGAGCAAACACTCTACGTAAATGCCAAGCAAGGGAACAGTTATTGAAATAAATTGAAAACAAAACAAAAACTTCAAAATAATTGATTGAGATTTGCAGTGGCAAGTCAATAAGTACTAATGATTTTCAAGTTCACTTCTATTTAATTCTAATACAGATTTGGTTAAGACTAGCAGTAGCCAGTCAATAATAATTACCGAGTTTAAGTTCGCTCATATGATTCTATGAACAAATTAGGAAATGAGAAATTTTCAAACATTAGTGACTATTTAGGCATTTCAATTAGATTAAACGGGCGCAGGTTGTGTTTTGAATTGTATGAGGGATCACCTGGGGTTTGGTTTAGACTTGGTTAAAAATAAATGAGAATTGAGTAAAGGGTAGATTTAATTATTAGACTCCTTATTTTGCAGATTACATCCGAGCAAAGATAAAAATAGGTAAAAGCAAATGGTGTAACTATTTACATGGGCCACATAATTTTATTTGTACATATACAATTACAAAGAGAGAAATATTTGAGCCTTGAGACATGAATCTAGTCCACTGGCCCAGCTTTCTCAGTCAACCAAGCCTAGATACCTGAAGAAAATAAGAAAAGACCAATTAGTCCAATTCCAGATTTTTAGGCCCAAAATAGGCTGTCACTCGAGCCCGGTTTCTAACCCAAAATTGGAGGCCCAATCTGCCAGCAAAGTTCCATTTTGGAGCCCAACTCGGCCCAACAAATATCTAACCAACAGGCTCAACTCGGCCCAACGAAATCCAACCATAAACCGACCTTGATCAATTCGGTCTAACCAAATCCTATCTACAACCGACCTCAACAGGGTGGCACGCTCTTCAAAGTCTAAATAAAAAAATGCTCGAATCATAGAGCGACACGTGGCAGTTTAGTTTGCTATAAATGAGCTCTGTGAGCTCTTTGTTGAAGGGGGGATAGATTTGGGGAAAAAGGAAGAAAACTGCATTACAGAAATACACAAACACTTTGAGCTCGTTTTTCTTTACATTCGTCTTTTACACGAGAACGCAGAAAGTTGTGAGATTAAGCAGAAGTCCTTTCTTAAGCCATGAAACTCCAACCAGGTTAGCGCTCTTACTCTTTCATCCTTTCTAATAAGATCTGA